GGACTACAAGGAACTTTCATCAGAAGCAAAAATATACTTTTCTAAATCAAATTTTCGCGTTGTTTTCAAATCTGCAAGTAGACTATTTCTATCACTTCTAATTTTTTATATTATTACTAATTATATATATAAAATAATAATTAAAAGAAAAAAAAATTTGTTTTCAAATTATTACTGATTTGATTTTTAATATGTTAAAAATAATCAGTCCAAATTTTCAATTTTAACCTATTTTTTTGGTTCTTTAAAGTTGATGAAAAATTTTTGATAAAGATTTATGAAAGTTTATAGTTAAATAAATTGAATATATTACCATAATTTTTAGCTCAATTACAAGTTTAAAATTGACATCTAGGCCTGTCAACAAAGGAAAAATTGCGGAAAAAATTTTGTTTTTTTAAAAGTTGAATTAAAATATGTATAATGACATACTAATAGTCCTCAAGATTGGAATTGAGCTTTTTTTTTAAATCCTCGCAAAAGTTCAAAAATATGAGCTTTCTTAATTTTCTCAAAAAAAAATATTTAACTTACAAAAAAAAGTTTCGCACAAAAGTTGTTTAAAAGACAATTATAAATAAAAATATAATCTTATATTTTTTCATTTAAACAAATATTTTTCGAGTTACATTACATTTAATATGAGTAATAAAATTTATATTCCATTTTTTTCATTTTACGGTTACTTTTTATTTATACTTACATATTTATAACACAATGTTATAAATGCATATGTGTGTATGTGTGAGTTTATTTATTTATTGTATCATTAAAGTGTAGTGTATATTGAGATACAACCGATAGAGTAGGTAATTGATTTGACGCTATATTATTTAAACCCAACTAAACGCTAAATTGTACATTCCGAAATAACAATCATATTATGTCAATTGCCACCGGAATATCTGGTAATATTTTTCTTTTTCTTTGCCTTAATCCCAACTACTTGGGGTCGGCCACCCTTATCCTAAGCTTCCACTTGACACGATCTCCCACATCTTCTACGCTCACATCAGCTGTCCTCAAATCGCATTCAATAGCATCCCTCCATCTCTTTTTTGGTCTTCCTCTATCTCTTCTTCCTTCAACATTCATTTCTATAACTGTTCTTACAGCTTTCGATTCTTCTTTCCTCATACCATGACTAAACAATCTAAGTCTATTTTCTGTCATCTTATCCACGATTGACGCAACACCTATACTTCCTCTTATATGCTCGTTCCTTATCCTATCTTCTCTAGTCACTCCACTCATCCAACTAAGCATTCTCATCTCTGCTACACTTATTCTCTGCTCTACTTTCTTATCAACCGCCCAACACTATGAACCATACATCATAGCTGGCCTCACAATTTCATACTAAATTTAAAAACTATAATTAGTATTTATTCATATATTATATTTTAAAATCAAAGAACTACTAATCAGGATATAATTAAAGAAATAAGAGTTCATGTTGCTTTTAAAATATTTCACCAATTTCTCTAAAGGAAACACTATCTACAGATTTGCATCGAAGCGTTTCTTATGATAGTGATTTTAATCACTGTCAGATATCATCTATACTTATCTCATCTATGCCACGTCTATACTGTGCCTCGACCCCACTGTGCTACCGTTTTTTTTTTTTTTATCTTAGAAGATTAAGTTAATTTTATTTTAAATTCAAAATTTGTGTCTTCATATGTTTTGCAATCATATTAATTGTTAGTTCAAAATAAAAATATATACATTTACCTAAAGAAAAGCATTTTAAATTACTTTACTAGATTTTACTATATGAATTTTACAATTGATTTTTAAACACATTTATTTACTTTTTCAACTAATAAAAAAGAAATTTTCATCAGAAATAATTTTTTTAGTTAAAATATTTTAGCTTTACTTTTCAGAAATTTTATTTACAATTCTAGGATTAGAAAGTTCAAAATGTTTTCAGATCTTTACTATCACTTTATAATATTTAACAATCTTAAAATTGATTAAAAAGTATTCCATAATGCATTTTTTAACCAAAGTAACATAATAAATTTGCTAAGAACTTTTAACATGATGATGTGTTATATTTACACTATTAATGGATTTAAATGTAAAAATAATACCTTAACCATTAATTCATTACAAATTGGACATTGAAATTCACTTTCTAGAACACTATAAACTTTTTCTTTGAACGTTTCTTCAATTTTTGATATTTGATCTAGAAAAAAATTCAAACAAAAAAATTAACCTCTCAAAAAAAAAAAGATAATAATTAAAGTATGTTGAAGCTATTAAATGACTTAACAAAGTTTAACTTAAACATTTTATCTAGAAAAGAGAATTACAAATGATAATAATTTGATAAATACCTCTTTTTAATGTAATTTAACATTAGCCTTAATGCAATTGAAAGTTTAGGAAAAATAAGATAAATTAATATTCAAAAATGTCTTAAATCCATAGGTGTTTTATTTTTTAATTAATATTTTTTCTTATCAAAATATTTAATAAAAGGAATACGATTTATTTATTTTTAAAACGTGAAGAAGATGTTTCTAAAATATTTATAAAAATCAATTAAGACCACACATGACAATGCATTATATATTATATTTCTCTTAGAGATTTGAATTATAATTGTTATAATATAAAAAAATGTAATGTTTTATAAACAAAAATGTATGTTTATATGTAACTGCTTTTGATAATTACTTAATAATCAATGACCATATGGACATGATATTGTTACCAATGTTTCTAATGTTCAATTTAATACAATAGTAATATATAAGCCCAAAATTAATTTATACCCTATTATGTGAACTCCATACAAAAAATAAATAAATGGAGTTCGTAGGTTATTCACTTATATATTTTATACAGGTAAATAAGTCCAGATTAAGACACAGTATATTTCATGTTATATACTAAGAATATCATGCGACTTTGCTTAAACAGGTGTAAAATTAAATAAAGNGAATATCATGCGACTTTGCTTAAACAGGTGTAAAATAAAATAAAATAAGTTAATAACAATATATATACTTATACCTTGTTGTGCTTTTAAAGTATTTTGGTAATCTAAATTCTTTTTTGTTAATTCATCATTAGCGAGTTTATGCTGCGGAAAAAAATGTTTTCAATATGATTTAATACAAAAATATAGTTTAATAAAACATGATTTTAGAACTAATTTAAAAACCAATACATTCTATATATATTCTTTTAATTATAGTAAATGTTAATAAAAAATATTATTATTGTGTGAAAATAATATAATATGTATTAACCAGTGGTTAAGTTATTTTTACTCAAAATATATTTACTTTTAGAACTGTTTTTTTCAATTTTTTAACTTTTTTTGAAGCTTGATTAATTATTTCATTAAATTTATCAAATTTAGCATTTAGAAAACGCTTTATTGATGCTATTTCACTTTTCAGCTAAAATAAATCAACTAATAATTAAAAAATTGGATTTAAATAAGTGATACGGTCACATTTTGTGCACAAATCTTGGTTCAGTCAATAACATTTAACAGCTTGGTCATCATTCATGCTCATTACAGATAGATATACAGGGACCCGCTAACAATGTTAATATACACATTCTTACAGAAAACTGTTTGTGAAAATGTAGTGCAACAAGCAGTTGACACCTACCATATGAATGTTTAACATCTAATTAATATTATTTGAACTTATTATTATTATTTAATTGTGATTAAAAAAATTATAATTCTCATGATGTTTATAGCACATTGTCATCTCCCTGATGGACATTCTCAACATATCTTTAATCCATAGATTATTATTTTATTTTATTATTATTTGAATCCATTATACTTTAATTAGTTTTTTCTAATGTGATATGTACTAATTAAAATGTTGGGTTACTGTTAACAGGCATATGAGATATGTACCCAAATAGGGTCGTATCATAAGTAAAAATTAAAAATAAATATATAATTTTTGTATTCATTTAAAGAAATGAATTGTAAAAAAAAAGATCATCCACAGAATTAAAACTTACAATATCGTCAACATCAGATTGACTTTCACTAGATTCATTTTCTTCACTAGATACTTCATTATTTCGTCTGAAAAATAAATACAATTAATTAAAACATCTAACTTTATAAAAATTAAACACAAAAAGCAGAGTAATATTAAAAGACTAGGGTATATATGAATGAAATATTTTAAGCATAATTCTGAATTTTGCAAAAAAGCATTTTACCATGAATGCAAGTTTATTTAAATATTTTTTGTGAGCAAAGCATAGTTTAAAAGTTAAAATTTAAATAGGAATAACTTTTTTCATTTTTTAACAATATTATTCATTAAATGTTAACGCGTATCCAAATGGTACGGCACTCAAGGTATATATATATATTATATATTTACACAAGCACAACAGTAAAAACAAAGAAACAACGTCGGAAGACAATAGTTGATTCTTATAATATTAGATATTTTTCTTAATTCGAACAATGTTATACGTATGTAACAATGGGTTTGGTTGGGTTATATTATATATTATATTATATTATATTATATAATGAGCACACTCGCCGCAATCCAAAAAAAAAACACGGAAAAACAATGAAACACAAACAGCGCACAAGAAAAAGGCAAACCAGTTAAGGTCAACGTGGGAACCGAAACAGAACGCAATATCAGTTATCCATATTCGGCGGCGGCGACCTTATCTCGGTGTCAAGGGCGGTGAGACAATCATACACAGTAGTCATAAGTAATAAACAATTGTTGACTTACCGCCATGTTCCTTGTGTGTATGGCCGTTGATATTGCGTTCAACACTTACCGTATTAGACTGAAACCTTCAGTCTCGTTGGCAAGAGGGAATGGACTATTCGGTCCGGTCATCCGTAACCTACGGATGACGTCAGGACCGAAGGGGAAAAAAAATAAGAAGGAAACTCTTCGCCCGATTACTCGGGACGAGGGGTTTCGCGATGGAAACGGGGAGGAGAAGGAGAGTCTGCAAGGAACCCGTCCACGGCGTACTCGCGTACTATGTTTTTCAGGCCCTTCCAATAGAAACGCCGTTTGATCGCTCGGTACGTTTCTTTCCAATTCTGGATGACACGCCAGTGCATCGTCGTGGTATCGCCAAATGACAAGCTGTGATTTGGCTACTGGTATTACAGCTGGTGTGTGCACGCCCATACAAATGCGTATAAGTCCGTCTAACATGAAATATTCGTTGTTGTTCTTGCTGGACTCCTTATCCTGGCGTTCTCCATGAGTAATTGTTTCGTGATGGATGAAAGAAACGGATCGTCGTTTTGCCACTCTTGTGTCTCCCTCCCCCCCCATAAAACGGCCGTTTATCTGACGCGCCGTTTGTTTCGGTTAAGGCAAAAACATTGTCAAGAGTGGCCCGCGTGTTATCGTTTTTGGTGCGCCCACCAGATTGTCGTCGAGTAACTCTTCGTCCCTCGGTCGGATAACGTGACAACATGTCTGGTCCCTCGTTGTGTTTCCCGGGTACATGTGTCGTTGTAAAATTCAAATTGCCTAGATGTAGCGCCCACCTAGTTAATTTTGAATTGTTGTGTCGTTTGCTCTGTGTAGCCAAGTCAACGCAGAATTATCTGTAAATAATTCGAACGGAGAATACTCAAAGTACGGGCGAAATTTATCAGTCGCCCATATAATTGCTAGGCATTCTCGTTCTACGGCGGCGTAACGTTTCTGCGTTTCTGATAGTTTCTTACTGGCGTAGGATATGACTCTTCTCTTTCCCGGTTCATCTCCGCGTTGAAAGAGTATTGCTCCCACGCCCATTTCACTCGCATCGGTTTGAAGGCAAAAAGTCTTCGCGTAGTCAGGAGGACTCAGTCGTGGGGACTCGCACAGGGCCTTTTTTACCTGTTCAAAAGCCCTTTGACGGTCTTCCGTCCACAACCATTTCGTTCCCCTTCTTAGTAGATTTTTCAGCGGCGCTATTGTTTCGGCGTAGTTGTCGACGAATTGACAATACCAATTAAATATGCCGAGACATCTACGTAGATATTCCGATAGGACGCGGATGGACTCGAGTTTTTCGGGCTGCTTGTCTATGTGCCCTCACCGTGTACAATATGGCCCAAAAAGGAAAACCCTATTTTACACTTTTTTGTGTGACATGTGTCGCTCTAATCGTTCTAGAACTTTGCCTAAATGTTCTAAATGCTTTTCTAAACTACTTGAACAAATAATTATATCGTCCAAGTAAACTTGGACGAAATCGTCTAGATATCCTCTAAGTACTTCATTGATAAGTCTTACGAAAGTCATAGGCGAATTTTTGAGTCCAAACGGTAGTACACGAAATTGAAACGAGCCCCTTCTCGTTCTAAATGCCGTAAACTTACGGGCTTTTTGATTTAAACAGCATTGCCAATAACCCGACTTTAAGTCGAGAGTACATTTTTGCCCCTCTCATGTTCCTAACCATGTCGTTTAGATTAGGCATGGGGTACGCGTCCGAAACGGTTACTTCGTTTAGTCGTCGGTAATCTATACATAAACCCCATCCTTCTTCTTCACGATCGGTGCTGACCACGGCGATACACTCGGTTCTATTAGCCCCTGCGCCTCCATGTCGTTTACTATATATAACCTCCTGCTTGTGCGGGGGATAGGGGTACGATTTTAGTGCGATAGGAGTCGGGTCTTTCAATAGAATGTCGTGCTGGATTAATTTTGTGCGACCCACCGTGTCGTTAAAGACCGCTACGTAATTACAAATGGTCTGTGTTAATAACGTCGCCGGTTATATCTAACTGCGTCACATCTGGTTTGGGGATCGCGTGTCGCGCGCCCGATTTCCAACAAGCGGTCGTACGTTTCTTAGTGTATTGTTCCTGCTGAGTAGTCCCAGGCGACTTTACGATCAATCAGAAAATCATGCCAAGTCGCAATACAGGTCGTCTAAAATAACCGCTGAAAAACGCACTTCTAAATCCGCGATGTTGGCAGTACCGTTCGTCATGGCGGTGTGTCCGTCCGCCAGTCTAACCGCGTCAGTGTGTCCTCTATAAACAGTTCCGTATTTATAAGCAATTACCGGTTTTACATACGATTTGTGCGCCTGTGAGTCGAGTAGGGCTGTGACGAAGCCAGTTTCGGAATTATAACTCGACCGCTGGAGTAGTAATTCTACGCCGACATTTTTCGGGTGGTTTACGGTTCGAACGGGGGGCAGCTGGTTCTTAACCGCGACGTCGGTTTGCCCACTGACAGTGTTAACTGCCATTGCAGTGGACTTGCCGGATCGACTGACACCCCCTCCCCAACTGTGCCCGAAAAAATTTCGAATACCTGACTCGCGCTTTGGTCGTTCGTGTCGGCAGCGTGTTCGAACTTTGATTACATCCGAATTCACCGCGGCGTCCCCTCCATTACGATAAGAGGGGCGCAGTGCCGAAAAAGTGCCAAGATCGTTGGCGGTATGTAAATCGTATGGGCCGTTAGATTCGGTGTTCTGCGCGACGGTCTTGTAACGTTATAATTTTTTTTTTGGACTTGTATTTTTTTCAAAATATCGTTTTATCGTAAATGCAATGTTATAATCGAAATAATATTGTGGAATTAGGATTATGTGGATCTGCCACCGACTGTGCAATTAAGTTTTAAAAATAAATGAGCTGTTGAGAATTTCCACTACTCTATGATACGGAACAAATACGAATAAAACATGTAATAAATACATCCTGTCGCAATGTGGACACAATGATTATCGGTGCCTCATTTACAATTACCCCTCCTGACCCTAGTCGTAATATAATAATTAAATTGTATTGTAATATTAATAATAAAAATAGCACAGTGGGGTCGAGGCACAGTGTAGACAAGGCATAGATGGGACAAGTATAGATGATATTTGACAGTGATTTAAATCACTATCATAAGAAACGCTTCGATGCAAATCTGTAGATAGTATTTCATTTTAAAAAAAAATTTGTTAAAATAGCATATTTTTGAATACGGTAGCCGTTTGCGTATAGAAGATAGATCGTCGGGACAAATTTTTTGTTTTCATTTTGTAGTACATAAAATAAGCTTTAATTTGATATATGTTTAAAGGACGCAGTATTTCCGGAACATTTTCAAAAATTAAGTTGAAAAAGTTATTTTTTGTAAAAAAGTTACTATTTTAAATCCCCCCAGTGAACAGAATAAGTGGTAGATTTCCAAAAAAAATTATATCAAATGAAAGGGAAATATCTAAGGTTTTAATACAAAAAAATATTATTTTTATTTGTTAATTTTTGAAAAAGTTATGGCAGTTTTAAGCACAAAAAACATCCCGATAAAAGGTAATTTTTATCGCAATCATTACATTTTTTTTTAATTTTCGACAGCCATTTGCACATAGAAGATAGATCGTCGGGACAAATTTTTTTTTTTTATTTTATAGTACATATAATAAGCTTTAATTTTATATATGTTTAAAGGACGCAGTATTTCCGGAACACTTTCAAAAGTTCAGTTGAAAAAGATCTATGTTTTTTACAATATTTCAAGTTTTGAACGCCCCCTATATAAGGGGAAATTGTCCAATTTTAATAAAAAGTATGTCAAATGAAAGATGTACTTATAATGTATTTAGAAAAAAAAAATTTGTGCTGATATATACATTTTTCAAAAAGTTATAGCATTTTTAAGTTGAAAATTTAAAATCGAAAATCGAAAATTTTAACACAAAAATAGTGTTTTTTTAACTACGGCAGCCGTTTAAATGTAGAAAAAAAAGTGTCGGGACAAATTTTTTTTTTTCATTTTGTAGTACATAAAATAAGCTTTAATTTGATATATGTTTAAAGGACGCAGTCTTTCCGGAACATTTTCAAAAATTAAGTTGAAAAAATTAATTTTTGTAAAAAAGTTGCCATTTTAAATCCCCCCCAATGAGCAGGTTAAGTGATAGATTTTCAAAAAAATGATATCAAATGAAAGGTAAATATCTAAGGTTTTAGTATAAAAAAAAATTATGTTGATTTGTTGATTTTTCAAAAAGTTATGGAAGTTTTAAGAAAAAAAAGTGAAAAAATTTCGAAAATTAGCGATTTTTAAATTTGTAATTTTT